AGATTAGGAAGTTATAATTTTTGAGTGATTTACTGGTTCTATGATTTAATGACATGTCCTACATCTACATAATATGTTTATCAGGAAGTTTATACGCCTGTTTTTCTTTAATATCGCATTCGATAACACGAATAAGAAGTTTATCTCATAGGTGTTGGGTAAATGGTCGGATGTTATAAATATTTTTATTGAATTACAAGACGCTTGTTGCCAGTATTTTAATAATTTATTACCATCATAAAACTCGTGTTACGAGAGGTCGGTCATCACTCCTACATTTACCATATACTACATCATAACTCACTGTCTGTTATACATAACATATGCCCCCCCTTAAATTCTTGCACTTTTATAAAAATTTGAGTTAGGTGCTTTTAGTTAACGTAAAGTAATTTATTACATAATTTACATGCTAATTTATTATAATCGAAGAGTATTCAAGGAAATAACCTGTGCATTTATGAATTAATATACAACTAACTAAAGTATGTTATCTATCTACATTTGTTTACGTTAGAAGACGTGAATAATGAATATTAATTATTGTAATCATTAATTATTTACTTGCCGAAATTACTACATGGTAATCGGATATGAGACATCGATTTTATATGTTGGCATATGGTGATAAATGTTCTTCAAAATGGGGAATCCACATAAATCGAATATAAAGATGGGAGACGAAAAACTAGAAGAAGTGACAGATTTTAGGTATCTAGGAAGTCAGATAAGTCAAGACGAATGGTAAGGATACTGTGGAGAAAGAGGGTTAAAATTGAAAAGGTATTAGAAAGAATAGGAGCGCAGAGGATTCTGTGGAAGTCAATAAGAAATAGACGAGATAGGTTGGTAGGACACCTTCTCAGGCATGAAGGTTTAGTCATATATATATTATCGGGTTGTTCGGAGTCATTTCGTTTTTTCCCGACAGAGGATTTAATTGTATTCTTTTGCACCCAATTTCACATTTAAGCCGTATAATTTATATGCTTTGAGAGCTCATATAGCAAGGCTTGTGTGTGAAAAATTCCAATTATTTCTACGCAGTAGTTTTTGGTTGGTGCCCTTTTAAATATGGAGAGCGATAAGCAGCATTTTCGACATATCTTACTGTTTTACTACAGAAAGGGTAAAAATGCTGTTCAAGCCAGAAAGAAATTGACTGATGTGTATGGAGAAGGTGTGTTGACAGTACGCCAGTGCCAGAACTGGTTCGCTAAATTTCGATCCGGCAATTTTGATGTCGAAGATGCACCACGTTCGGGAAGGCCGGTTGAAGCTGATAAAGACGCGATAAAGGCATTAGTTGATGTGAACCGGCGAATAACAACACGTGAGATCGGATTGAGGTTAAATTTATCAAATTCAACAGTTTATGACCACTTGAAAGGCCTGGGATTATCCTCGAAGCTCGATGTATGGGTTCCCCATGTTCTCACAGAGAGAAATCTGTGTCGCCGCATTGACGTCTGCGATTCGCTTCTCAAACGTCACGAAAATGATCCGTTTTTGAAGCGCATCATCACTGGGGACGAAAAATGGGTTGTATACAACAACGTCAAACGCAAGAGGTCATGGAGCAAAAAAGATGAACCGGCTCAAACCATTTCCAAAGCCGATATTCACCAAAAAAAGGTGATGCTGTCTGTTTGGTGGGATTTTAAAGGAATCGTTTTTTTTGAGCTTTTACCGGATAACACAACGATTAATTCGGAAGTCTACTGTCATCAGCTGGACAAACTGAATGATGCACTTCAACAGAAAAGGTCAGAACTAATCAACAGGAAAGGTGTAGTGTTTCACCAAGACAACGCGAGACCTCACACAAGTTTGGTCACTCGCCAAAAGCTTTTACAGCTTGAATGGGATACAATGCTACACCCACCATATTCTCCAGACCTGGCACCATCGGATTATTATTTGTTCCGGTCACTCCAAAATTTTTTAGACGGTAAAACCTTTACAAAAGGACGAGGTCAAAAACCTCCTCGATCAGTTTTTTGCCATCAAAGACCAAAAATTTTATAAGCGTGGAAATATGCTACTACCAGAAAGATGGCAAAAGGTGTTGGACCAGAACCGTCAATATGTAATTTAATAAAGTATTTGTTTATTGTACGAAAACTATCTTTCATTTCCACAAAAAAAAAACGAAATGACTTTCCGAACAACCCTATAGATGAAACATATTAGAATGATTCAAAATTTCTTTTCCATTTTCTTCTAGTTCAGGGCTTCCCAAAGTTACTTTTGCCTGTGACGCTCTTTGGAATTTATCATTTTCTTGCGACGCTCTGACCAAAAAGTACTTAGCAGTTGTAGTTCTGGCCTAGTAACAAGTTACTAGAAAAACGACATTTATGATTTTTATTAGGAAATAGAAACAGAAACTTTCTCCCGACGCCCCAGGGCGATAGTTAGAGAAACCCTGTTCTAACTCATTCGATTTTTTAGTTTCTCATACAAAAAGAAAGAGAAAGTATACTGCCCTAATCTAGGTAAATTCATGAATAAAAACTTACAGGAGCGGGACCAAGAGATTTTATTGTGTATTATCGTAATAAACTCTGAAACGTTGTTCCAGTGAATATTCATTTCTTTTAAGTATTTTAGCCTAATGTTTTTTAATGGGCATTTAATTCCAACCCTCTTATGATTCACGTGGATGTACCCATTTCTGAAAGTCGTTCCTAATAAGAGAGTGGTAAGTAGTTGCATTATCAACAGTGCCTCTCAAAGTGATTGATTTGGATTTATAAAACTGTCAGATAAGATACGAAGCATGTCAATTGCAGTAATTTGTTTTGATGGTTGAAGATGTATCGAGTGTAAGAATATGATTAGGTACAGTACAGTAGATAACAAAAATAAACGGAAATTGAAATTTTTACTGGCAAATGGATATTTCTGCTGTGACACGTTGTACATAGTTCGATATCGATGAGAGTACACACAATAAATTTGGCATAATTATTGGATTTGATTTAGCCTTAACACTATACCCATTGTTCAAGTCATGAAGGCACAAAAATATTTTTAAAAATTTTTGAACAGGTCAAAACACGCCAAGCTTTAAAAAAAACGTTTGCATATTTTATTACCTCTGATCTATATTTAAGAGATTTTAGATAAATTCTAATACAGTTATAATTTGCCTTATCGAGCCCCCATAAGGTAGATTTAATTGTAAGTTTATACATGTGATAGGTTTGCGCCTTAAGACTCATATGAAAAACTCATAGAGCAATCCTCATTTTAGTATTAGCACTTTTTTGGTGGGATTTTTTTGAGGAATCTACGGGGAAACCCTATATCGGCATGCCCCTCACTATCCACATGAGGCTCGCACACTACATGGAGCATGTCCGCTATAAATTCTAGTCGGGGATAAGTCCTAAGACTGGTTGGAGATGCACCTCCATTCCTTCCCATCCTGAGCTAGTCTTCGCATTTCCCTTAGACTAGAACATCGTGAAATATTTGCCAACAGTAATCTAATCTAGGTCTATCTCTACTCCTCTTATCTCCTGCTTCTGCCTCTAATATGTCTCTGACTAGTGCTTCATGCCTAAGAAGGTGTCCTACCAACCTATTTCCCCTATTTGATATTGACTTTCATAAATCAAAAAAATTATGAGATAATCTTAAATCGAAAGAAGATCTTACAAAGCTTGTTTATTGATGAAAAGGAATATTTAATTACATGTACCTGTACTATCATGTTTATGTTTATTTATGAATCCGAA